TATCATATGTAGGAAAGAATGATCCTAATTGTCATATCCTTATAAATCTAAGCCCCAGGGAAGAAACTGAATTATGTCAATGGCAGAGTTCACCCTGAGCTCATTTAGAATTAACTCTCCAGTTCTGACTCAGAATAATCATTCTTCTCAACACCCTAAAATTTCTTATTTTTGTGCCCCTCCCCCGTGGCTTCCCAAGGGAATGCTGAGGTATAGATTTCCTATGATATCAAGTACTGTATGTTCTATAAATTAAGATTTACTTCAGTAATTGAATAAATTTGAAAGGCCATGTTACTGGTTCCAACATTAATATGTATTTCAGATATATTAAAAAGGGCAAACCATATTTTCTAGAGTACAGGCAATAGTTAAGCTTTTGCTACTGTTGTATCTATTATTCCACTTCTGAATATGTGTTGGAGATTAAAAAAAAATGACCAAGATGTTAAATACAGGTCCCACTGTCTGGTGTCTGTAATCCTATTTGAAAGGCTAACTATTTACTTCTAGGATCTTTAAAGTTTCTAAAAAGGGCTATCTCCTCTTTGAAAATGTACAAATTCTACAGATTCATAATTAAACCGTGTACAGGAATTGGAAAGTCAATAGAGCCCAGGGCGGCAGCAAGCTGAGACACCTGTTTGCACAGGGATATGGAACCGGAACTGTAATTTCACCAGTCTCATTAGTAAAAAAGCAAGCTTCCTTTCTAGTGTCGGTGAGCAGTAATAACTGTTCTCTGCTGATCTGTGGGTAGGAGTCAGAAATTGTCTGTATGTGGTAAACTCACATTTCAGAGAACCTCCATTCCCATGTTAATTCCTGGGTATCTTCGGAGGGGTGTGGTGGTGGGGTACATCTGGCTTGAAAAAGTCACTTGGTACATGGTAGCCTGGACAGATGTACTGCTGTGTGTCATTTGCCACCTTCAGCCTTCCACCGGTATTGATAGTTTCTGTATGGCACATCGTGTTATAAATATCCTGTACTGATCATTCTGCATGCTGCCATGTGATGTTATAAATATCCAGTGGCCCTTGGCAGGAAAAAGTTCCTTACCCCTTGCCCACCGAATTCCTTGATTACATTACTTTGCTTTGGTATGAATACATTTTAAATGACTAATTAAAATACAAATATTTGGAATAACGCAAGCTAGTCCGTTTAGCTTCTGGATTGCACCAGGCAATGGGAGAATGTGCGGCGAATACAGTCTCTCAGCTGCCGAGGCCAGGAGCTCGGGCAGACCTCCTCAAGACCGCCCAAGCCGCACCCAGAGCTGCCCACAGCCTCCATTGTAATCCACTGTGCTGAGCTGGGGGTGTGGGTTCTTTGTTTTTCAAAATGACTAAATGGGCTGTGGTAAATGCTAGATCGGCTTTTGTGGTTAAAGTGGGCCAGGTGATAGGAGTTCTAGGATAAATGAAAACATGTCCCTAAATAGAATCTGTCCCTTGGCTTCCTGCTGCATGCTGGACAGGGAACATGGCTGTGATCATCTGCACAATGAGCAGTTATATGTTCCCCTCAAAGACCTGAACGACGAGAGATCGCAGTGCTTGTCCGGGGGCTGGCGCAGTGATCACTCAGCACATACACTGATTGCAGGCTGCCTTTGGCTTATCACTGTGCAGCCTAACTGTGGTCAACCGAACAATGGGAAAGCATTAACACTACTAAGTCTGGGGGAAAATATACACGTTAAAACATAACACACGCCAGTCGAAACTTCACAGTGCTGACAACCCACTGACCCTTGCAACCCGCCAACTAGCCACAGGATTGTCCTTGTAGATTGCCGCCCTACTGTAGGTGAACAGCCAGAAGATGGGTATATTCCTGTAGACATGTAATTTTAAACAAGTGCCCTTACCCCAAGTCATGCTGTAGCACACTGGATTATTTATAGGGCTATCTGCTATAATTTCCAAACACACTGGACCAGGCCTAAAGTGACTACCATCGAGCTTTACATTTTAGGCAAGAAATGACTTGCCAAACGGAATCAGAGAAGGTAGGCTGACAAGGGACAGGAATTTGAGGACATATGAGCTATACCTTCCAAATTATTTCATTGAATGTGGACAGAACAACAGGAAAGAGACTAAACAGATGTTAATAATAGTTTACATTTCTATTATTTTATAAGTTAATTTAAAAATCTCAGTAAAGATTCAAAGGTGAATTAAAACCAAGTATTTTTCCCCCTGCTCTATTATTTTCTCTATGTACTTTACTATTACACTGTGATGAAATGCAGAAATATTTTGATTCAATCTGAAAAGCAGAAAAGCAATGGAAAACTCTTGGAACCGATCTGAGAACTGCCTAGCTGCAGGACAGCTCTTGCTTGTTATTTCCATAAAAGGAGAAAGATGATATTTATAGTCAAGGAAGAAGGCTGAACGTCTGCTACCAACGTGAGCTACCAGCAGTCATAGTCTGAGTTTTTCTGCCAACCTCTCACATGAGAGGACTAATAATTGTCAACTGTACTATTACTGCTTAAGGTCAACATGAATGAGGAAACTGGCTCTATTTTGATATACCAGGATTTCCCCAAAGCAGTCCCACTGAATTGTACTTCCTGGGACTTTTCTTAGATATTATTCAACAAATTGTTCTGTGGTCCAAACAATCTGGAAAACACTGAGCAGAAATAATATAGATAGATGCTGTTTTTCCTTCACTTCCAGGACATTTTTTTTTTTTTTGTCGGTCGTGGGGTTTGAACTCTGGGCCTGGGCGCTGTCCCTCAGCTCTTCAGCTCAAGGCGAGCGCTCTACCACTTGAGCTACAGCCCCCTTCCGGTTTTCTGGTGGTTTATTGGAGATAGGAGTCTCACGGTCTCTCCTGCCCGGGCTGGCTTTGAACCTCGATCCTCAGATCTCAGCCTCCTGAGTAGCTAGGATTACAGGCGTGAGCCACCAGCGCCCGGCCACTTCCAGGACATTTAAATCCCTATGTGCCCTTTCTAAGAAAGTATGTGTTTTCCAGACTTCTCTGATTTGGAACTCCTATGCTGAGAAAAGCATCTTTGGAACTTGTGCTCTCGGAGCCACACAGGGAAACATGATTTCCTCTACTCCTGCAGTGACTAGCTGAAGAGGCTACAGAACAGTGAGTTAATTGAGTGCATTTATTTTAATGCAGGTAAAGTCCACTGATCCAGTATGGCATCTAACAGTGATGTCATTTCTCCCGGGGTTGGATCAGGAATGCTGGTGTGAAAACCCAAGGCAATTTGGGGGAAAACTATTCAGGAAAGATTAGTCTAATGGTAGGTCAAAGGGAGGAAAAAAATCATTTCTGAAATCATTGGAAAATAACAATTTTCAACAGAGGATGCATTCCTATATGATGTACAATGTAAGGTTGCCTTTTAGAGTGCAAACCAGAACGTTAGATGTGCCAGGAATTCAGTGAGAAAAAAAGATCAGGAAAAAAAAATTAAGGTCTTCCTAGCAAAGGAAATGAGCTCATTCCCTTTATGAGCCCCTCATACAATTCCAGACCTCCTCCCCCCCCCCCCCAAGTGAGGCTCGCCATTGTGGAATGTAATTCCTAGAATCACTCAGATTAAGACTGGATGAAGCTACCACAGTGGTGGGACCGAGCTCGCCATTGTGCAAAATGTCACAACCATCACACTTGGGTGGAATGGGGTGTTTTCAGTGACCTTGCCTAAAAATGTGCTTTACTGTAACACTTATAAAATACTCCCGACACACACAGGGTCCAAGAGGCCAACACTGAATTCACAGCAAGGGTCAGCTACTGGTAGTGACTATATATGCAAACAGTCATGCTGTGTTTGAATAGACTCCAAGTTGATAGTCTTGAGCAAGTTCTTCATGGATTTAAAAAAAAAATACAGGTGTCGGGAACTGAGAACTAGCTTGAAGATTTTCCTACTTAAGTATAGTTTTTATGATTACAGAACTACATATGTAGTTGAGTTATTTCAAAAGACCCCATCCCCCCTCCCTGTCTCTACTTGGGGGGTTACAGTGCCAGTGTGCAGGCACAGAGCGGTGACACACAAAGACCTGGGAGTGGTGTCTTTCTTGTTGGGGGCTCCTAGGATGCACTCATTCTCAGCTTCAGTTCTGGAAGACAGTTTTTCTAAACCCATCCCGACATTTGGCACCAGGGGGGACTATTGGCAATTGGAACTCAGGCTCTCTAAGGAGTGCAGTGGCCTCAGGCGATCATTCCAAAGCTCTGGCAGTGCTGGTCTGGGAAACTCCGCAGGCAAATCTGTCACTTTCCCTCAGCTAGTCAACCTTCCTGACCTTTTCCAAAGGGTGAGTAGCCAGAGCACTCCTGGGCAGCCCAGGGTGCTGCTGCTGCAGATCCCTGCTGCTGGACAAGGCCGCAGGGGGACAGAGGACTCCAGGAGGACCCTCGGGAAGGGAATAAAGCATCTGATTTTATAACTTAACTATGCATCACACTACTACTATTTTTCTTAGAATTTCTAAAATTTGCTTAGAATTTCTTAAAAACCTACAGGTCATAGTGGAGGGGGGGAGTGCAGAAAAGGAGGAGTATGAGACATACACTCGTTTGGTTAAAAATCTGAAACAAGCTAGTTTCCCACATAAAAATGTGAAGATGTGGTGTGAACCTCAATTAGAAGGTTATAACCACTGCACCAGCATGATCTGATAAGAAATTTTCCTTGGTGAATAAACACCAATTTACTAGTTTAGTAGCATTTCTTTTGTCTTCAGCAAAATATTACTATTTCTATTCTAGACCTAAAAAAGGATGTAGAATTTTAAAATGTGTTTTCCTCGTTATTATGCATTATTGTTAGGCAAAAAATAAGGGTGAAACTGGGTGCTGGTGGTTCACACCTGTAATCCTAACAACTCAGGAGGCAGAGATCTGAGGATGCAGTGTGGAGACAGCCCAGCTGGAAAGTTTATGACTCTTATCTTCAATTAACCAGCAAAAAGTGGGGTTGTGGCTCAAGTGATAGAGTACTAGGCTTGAGCCCAAAAGCTAAGGAACAGTGTAGTGTCCACACCCTGAGTTCAAGTCCCAGTACCAACACACAGAAAACAATGAAGGTAAATAAGGAAGGCGAGGTGGGTATGGATGATAAAATGCTAGTGCTTCAGTTAGAGAATGGACTATGTTAACGAACCCTCAGCAAACAGCCTGATTGCCCAACATCCTTGACGCAGTGGACTTGTCACTCCCTCTCCCAGCCCACCCCCACCTGAACACGCACCCATGCATTCAGTGGCTTTCTACAGGATCTAAAAGGGGTGGTAGATATTTCGTACTAAAACCTTCTACAGTTAAGAAGCAATAACCAATATTCTAATTCTAAGGTTGGGAAATACAGTGTGTGTGTGTGTGTGTGTGTGTGTGTGTGTGTGTGTGTGTGTGTGTGTGTGTGTGTGTGTGTGTGTATGAGAAAATAAGCAAATCTCTTGGGAAATCATTAATAATCCTCAGTGCAGTCAAAGGAAGGTTAAGCTGTGGGAAGAGTCAAGGCAAAGGGCAGACCTCAGCAGCCCAAGTTCATCTTTCTTCTTCACAGGTCTTGACACAGAAGGGCTTCTTGGGGAGGCTCTGCAGCTGAAGGACGGAGGCAGGACACTGGGGAAGGAAGGCGCCGGTGAAGAGGGGCTGGATGGCTTCAGAAAGAACCAGACCCAGGTTGAGCCCGTACAGGTAGAAAGGCAACAAGACTCTTGTTTGGCTGCTTGAGTTGCCTCTATTTCTTTAGACAAAAAGGATAACCGAGATTTTCTTTAAGTTAACATAAAAAATACTAAGGCTAGGGGAAAAAAACAGGACTTTGGTGACAGGAAATGGAGAGCAGCAAACCAGGTCTCCAAATCCTTCTCCATACAGAGCCTTTCTTGAGGTGCAAACCAGCTTTGCAGGCCCTGGGCTGTCTTCCTCCAGGTGATGTGAGGCAATTCACATTTGTCTAGGGAAGGCTCTTTGCATGGCTGATAAGAGAAGCATGTCCAAGAAGTTCCTTCAATTCTCAAGTGTGCAAATGGTGGCTTGAAACTGAGCTTCAAGGGACCCACACACATTTCTCGGCCGCTGCTTCTCTAATCTCTGCTTGACAGATACTCGAAAGTCAGTGTGCTGGGGGAGGAAAGCCAGCTTCATGGGAAGCAAAGCTAGCTGCACAGAAAGCAAAGCTAGCTGCAAGGGAAGCAAAGCTAGCTGCACAGGAAGCAGCACTTGGGCGGTGGTCTCTCCAGCTCTCTTTCTCTCCCAGTTCAGACAGATTTCCAGGGGCACTGGGAGTTTCTCTCTCCTAACTCACTCTTAAAGATGGAAGGAATCTGACACTGTAGTTTGCTTTGCTTCCCCTCATGTTGTATTGGTAAGAGGACAAACTGTGGGGTTTGGCAGCCAAACATCTGTCTGTCACAGATGTGAGCCAGAGACATAGTCATGCGCAATGGAGAGAATCGCACCAGGGTGGGCCAGGAGTCATCAACTAAGCGGGGAGTGAGGGGAGGGCCCATTCCTGCTGTAGAGGCCATGCCAGGATGCCAGGAGGCCCTGCTATCTGGTGCTTGCCACTCCCTTCAGTCTCCATGAGCAAGCCAAGAATCCATTACAGATCTGCCTCGGGGCGGCTGCAGTCTCGGGAGGACAAAGCATTTTCAGACCACTCTGTCCTTAGGGAGAGGGTACTGACATTCTGGCTCTCAACTGGCCAGGCAACACCGTGCCCATCCCATGTGGCAGGGAAGGCGTGTCCCTGCCCCTGCATGCAGAGCAGCCATGAAGGCTGAACCCTGGACGACTGTGATGGAGATCCTGAAAAGAACCTGCAACAGACTGCCGCGAGCACACCGGCCATCCCCGGGTTTGGGCATCTACAGCTACCTACTTATATATTTTGACACTGATGAGAGAGTTGGGAAAGCATGAAGAAACCATTTTCCAGCCTTTCTACCACTTTGGCCAGGGCATCTCTGTTCATCTCTCCATTATCAATCTAAGACCACCAAGGGAGGGAGGGGGACGCTTAGAGTCTGGGGCGGATGATCCTAATTACAATTCCCACACCTTTTACTACATGAAAGAGACCAGTGTGTGAAAAGTCCTTCGTCTAAGGCAGCGGAGACCCCTGGAGGGTTCACTGCTCTTCTGTTTTGCTGCTATTCCTGAACTTCACCACCATGACTGTAATATTGTCAGGGCAGCCTCTATAAAATGACTGTAAAACTATGCTCTTTGCCCCAAAGTGAGGTTCATCCAAACGCTCCTTGATGAATCGAACAGCTTCTTCATTGCTGAAAGCATCCCACAGGCCATCAGACGCCAAGATCATGAACTCGGGCTGGAGCTTGTCCAGGTCAAAGGTTAGGATGTCGGGGTCCGGGATGACCACATTGAGATTTTTCAGTGGATAATCTCCCAGGGATCGAGACATGGCCAGGATTCCCTGGACCCTCCATGAGCCATTGAAACTGATGAAACCACCTGGAAAGACAAGAGTGAGGGAGAGAGTGAGTTTTCCCAGTGGGTATCTCCCACAGTTGGTACAGTCTGGGTAAGTGAGTGACAAGGCGGTCTACTCCATGTGAGCTGGGCCAAGTATGTCCCCTCTTCCTCGTCACATCAGGATCCTGCTGCCTGGTTTGGGGATTGAAAACCCCCCTTGGGCCCCCATTCTTGGCATCTCTATAGTTTTCAAGAATACTAAAGGGAAGAGATGATGAAGAAGATGAATATATTTGCAGCTCTTTCTATGCATTTCTGAAAGCAGAATAAGGTAATCTATTGAAATCACTTCTTAAGAAGTGGGGAGTGAGCTGGGTACCACTGACTCATGCATTGTGATCCTAGCTACCCATAAGGCTGAGATCTGAGGATTGGGGTTCAAAACCAGCCAAATAGAAATGTTCATGAGACTCTTACCTCTAACTAACCAGCCAAAAGTCAGAAGTGGAGGTGTGGCTCAAAAGGTAGAGCATTAGCCTTAAGAAAAAAGCTGAGCAAGAGTTCAAGGCCCTGAGTTCAAGCCCCAGTACTGGTGCCAAAAAAAAAAAGACATAAATGAAGTGAGGAGCAGAAGGGAGGTACATTTATATGCATGCATGGAAGTATCACAATGAAACCCTACTGTACAATTAATATATGCTTATAAAAATGGAAAAAGAGCCAGGCAGAAGTGGCTCACGCCTGTAATCCTACCCACTCAGCCAGCAGGCTGAGATCTAAGGATCATGGTTTAAAGCCAGCCTGAGCAGGAAAGTTCATGAGACTCTTATCTCCAATAAACTACTAAGAAAAAGCCAAAAGCAGCACTGTTGCTCAAGTGGTAGAGTGCTAGTCTTGAGCACAAAGAGGCTCAGGGACAGCACCCAGGCCCTGAGTTCAAGTCCCACGATGCACCAAAAAAAGAAAAGGGAAAAAGAAACCAAATAATCCAACATGTACAGTATTTTACTCAGATTGATTGGCTCTCATATTATGGTTTTGAGCAGGAAGGGAAGAGCTGTCCCGAAAGGAAGGCTGGTGTCAGAGGAAACATAAAGACAGTAAAACTAATCACTGTTTCTTAGGCCTTCCCATAAAATACACCACTGATGCAACTATGTAGAAGAACAGAATAAGATGGATTCACCTCCTTGGAGATGATGTCTGTATTTGTTTCTAGAAGGATCATCGCAGAGGAGGGGTGGATTGGTAGGTACAAGCAGGAAGAGGATGGAGGATAAATGGCAGTGATGTTTCAAAAGAGGGTGCTGGATGCCAGCATTCCAGGTGTAGTGTGTACACCTTGGCTTGTGCCGATACAAGCCTGGGCTAACTGCATCTCAAGCACAGGCTCACAGCAGTCCCCGGGGGAAAGGCAGTCAGGTGGATGCTCCCAACTGCCTGCAGCTCAGTGAAGCTTGGCAGATGCTCTGAGATCATTGTTTGTTCCAGCTCATCGGCAGCGATTGTGACCGAAGCCTTCATTCTAAATGATTCGGGGTTATAATACAATTTCAATAACTTTTTGGCTCAACACGACAGCTTCCTACTGTGAAAATTCAAACATTCATTAGGTTCACTTCATTTACTCATTGGGCAGAAGCTGACCTGCAGAGATGGAGAGTCTCTCTGCAGATTAACAAGACAGCTGGGGCCCATGTGGGCCAGAGCTGTATGTGTGTGTGTGTGTGTGTGTGTGTGTGTGTCTGCGCACGCATGCGTGCGTGCGCCTGTGTGCATGTATCCCACTTCTCTGCTCTGGCAGCCGGTCTGCGGCCTGGCATATCATGAGGATGCAGCTGTCAGGGAAGGGAAGGAATTCTTCCCTCAAGTGCTTTGTGTTCTCCTTATGACATACTACTATGTAACTTGTTTTCTTTTTTGTTAGTATTGGTGTATACTATCATCTTACCCCATGTAACTTTTCAGGGGGAGGAGGTATGGTGGATCAATGAGTGAATACAAGACCTCTTTATTTTAAAATATTTACTTTTACCAGTTAGGTCCTAGGCATGGAAATAAACAAGACCAAGTTCTTGCTTTTAAAAAGGTCAAGGTCAGGAAGGGATGGGCAAGGGAGAGGGCCAGCTCTGCCAATGCTCAATGAGAGGAGACCTAAGGACATTCCTAGAGGGTCCAGGCAAAGATAGAACTCAAGAGTGGGAGCACTTGTGGCACACACCCTGGTGCTACCTGGTAGAGAAAGCTATTTCCATGCACTTAGCGGTAATGGCATTTGCAAAGCCCAGATGAACCAGAAACAAGGATCACATGAGAAATGATCAAGTGTTTGGGGGGACTGGAAGGAAGCAGGATGTGGCAAGAGTCCTAGAAAGATACAAGAAGAAAGTACTCAAAGACATCATCAGCCCTTTTAAGCTGGAATAGGAAATCCTTGGTCCTACAGAGGCACAGCCAGTAGCTGTTTATTTGATAGGAAACATTACAGAGCCACATTCCGGTACCCTCAGGAGCAGCCTCTGCACTGACCAATTTTGAACTGCAGGACAACAGGGCAGTTTATCTCACAAGCACTCCCCAAGCAATTGCCTTAGCCACCAGACAACATGGCAGACATTCCTTGGAGTTGGTCAAAACTCACCAGCTCTCTTGATCCTCTTTCTTTCCTTCAGTTGGTAAGGTTTGTGGTCATGAGACAAAGGAATGGCGTTCCCATCTTTGTCACACAGAACTCCTCTTGAGTCACCTACATTGGCCACAGTGAGGTCTTTATCTGACAGTAGAGCAATCAAACACGTCGTGCCTACAAAACAGAAGAGAGAGAGGCAGTGATAGAGGTCAGCAGTGCATGGAAGTACAGTTGTTCTTGGTTACCAGCGTCTTCTGTCATTAAAGCGGCTCCTGCTGGGTAACAGTTTTACTCCAGCTACTCTGGGAATGATCACTGCCACTTCAACAATACTGATCATGGCTGACAGTCCATTTTCTTAACCCTGTTAGTGTCACTGAAATAGGCTGGGCTAGCATTATCATTTCCCTCCATCACTTTGTTTCAGCTACCCTTAATTTAAAAACATTGTGTTCCACAGGATTAGGAGAGAATCCAAATCATTTTCAAGTCCCAGGTGACTGGTATGTGTTTTCAAGCTTCTCATTGGTGTGGAGGTTGTGAGAAGACTCAGTAAAAATGGGGAGGCTGTGAGAGGACTGGGAACTTTGGATCAGTGTGCTGAAGGGCAGCTGCTTAGCAGGTGTATCCTACAGCCCCGTGGTGGAATGGTTGGTGCCAGGAATCAGGGCAGCTCCAGGAGGGATGGAGAGGATGCACAGGTCAAGCAGGGGACCTGTGGTGACATCAGAAAGGAGGTCGAGGTGGGCATGGGGAGGGGACACAGTCAGAAGGGAAGCAAGGCATGCTTTATGGTTTGGAGCCCACACCAAGTCAACAAAAGGACAAGCTCTCCTCAGCCCTTTTAGAAATGAGAATGAATCAAAGCAAAGAGGTGAATCAGCTTTCTAGCTGGCACAGCCGGGGTCTGGCCTTCTCCTGTTTCCCATCCTTCTGAAGGTGTCACTAAGCAAATATCCACTGAAATGCACCCCCATTCACCCCACCTCTTGAACTAATAAGATTCTTTATTTCTTAGTATTTATTAATTACTCTTCATGAACGGTTTCCCCTTACTAAGAACATCAGTTTCCATAGCAAGTACATAAACTGCATCCAAATAGTTTTTAGTCTTTATAGAAGAAAAAAGATTTAACAAGTAAAGACACATGGATATCAAAAGCAGGGAGAACTAGAATTAGCATATTCAGTGACTACAGTTCAGTTTGAAGTGTTTATTTATTTTTGGTATAGGTCCTGGAGCTTGAACTCAGCGCCTAGGTGTTGTCTCTAAGCATTTTTTTTTTGGCTCAAAGCTAGTGCTCTACTATTTGAATCAGAGCTCCATTTCTGGCTTTTGGTGGTTCATTGGAGATAAGAGTCTCACAGACTTTCCTGTCCAGGCTAGCTTTGAAATACAATTCTCTGGTCTCAGGCGTGAGCTATAGGCACCCAGTTTTGGAAGCTCTATTCTTGTCTATTTGACTGCTTTGAGTAGAACTGGCAAAGATGGAGGAGAACAAGGTAGGGGTGACGCTGATAAAGAAGCACTGTCTCACATTCTGACTTGTTGATTTGAAACTCCTCGTACAACTACTTAAATAGAAAAAAAATTAAAACTGCCTTGATCAGAAATGGAAGCACATGAAATGGTTAACTTAAGATTTCTTATAACACACACACACACACACACACACACACACACACACACACACACACACACACACACACACGAGAGGACAAACAACCACAGAGGACTATCAAAGCAAATGTTTTACTTGTTTTTTAAAGCAGCCATAAAAAATAGAAATATAAATAGAAGGGCTGGGAAGGTGGCTCAGTGGTAGAGCGCTTGCCTTGCATGCTCGAGGCCCTGGGTTCAATTCCTCAGCACCACATAAACAAAAAGAATAAAGCCAGAAGTAGCGCTGTGGCTCAAGTGGTAGAGCGCTAGCCTTGAGCTGAAGAGCTCAGGGAGAGCGCCCAGGCCCAGAGATAAGGCCCCACGACCCAACCCCCCCCCCAAAAAAAGAGAAATATAAATAGAAGCACAATTAAAAATAACTAGGAATCATTATTCCTAGGTGCTGTGTGTGTATGTATGTATGTATGTATGTGTGTGTGTGTGTGTGTGTGCGCATATGCGCGCGCGTGTGTGTCACATTGGTCCTGGGGCTTGAATTCAGGGCCTGGGCACTATGCCCGAGCTTTCAAACTCAAGGCTAGCACGGGAGCCACAGCTCCCTTCTTGGCTTTGGAGATAGGATTCTTACAGACCTTCCTGCCTGGGCTGCCTTGGAACCATGCTCCTCAGATCTCAGCCTCCTGAGTAGCTATGATTACAGGCCTGAACAACCAGTGCCTGGCTTACTCCCAGATTTTTATGTTGGCTACCTGTGATTCTATAACCATGCTTGCTTTGTCCTAGAGCATCTTTGTGGGGAAACCCATGTGATACCATCAGAGCATAAAATCTCCTACAAGGCACATTCTTGGAGTCAGAGACGTTGCTTTACGGGCTGTCCAGGCTGTGGGCATTATACCAATGTGGCTCCTGAAGCCAAATATCACTGGCAGGCTGTCTGTGCTCTGGGTGAACATGTGTCTCACTTGGGCTTCTACACCACTGAAGTCGCTGCCATTAACTTGGTTGACACTCCTAAGATGCATGTTCTTGTCTAGCAGGCTTTTCTTTCTGGTACTATAGGGTCCAGGAAAGTGCAGGGATCCACCTGGCTGAGATGTAGTCTCCCAACCCCGTTTCAACTAAGGCGTTTTCACACCCACTGGGCTGCGTAGTGAGTTTCTATGTCAGACCTTTTTACAGTCATTACTGCTGCTCTAAGAAAGAACTCTGAAATGTAATCGCATCTGTGAGTAACAATCACTCAAGGTGTGTGTGTGTTGGGGGAGGACACTACTGGGAGGGAGCTGAGCTAATAAGGAGAATGAAGGAGGCTGAATGCTTTTAAACAGATTACTTGCAGCTATGAAACTAGAAAAAAAATCACTCAAGGGCTTTTAAGTAGATAGCAACGTAACAGAATTTGTGTTTCCATCTTTCCAGTGGCAATAGGGAAGATAGCTAACCTTGAAGGAGTGAGAAGAAGTAGTTAGAGAGGATATAAATTGATGCGGCTGACATAAGGGTAGAATTATTATTATTATTATTATATCTTGTCAGTCATGGGGCTTGAACTCTGGGCCTGAGCGCTGTCCCTCAGCTCTTCAGCTCAAGGTTAGTGCCCTACCACTTGAGCTACAGCACCACTTCTGGTTTCCTGGTGATTCATTGGAGATGAGTCTCAATAGACTTTCCTGCCGAGGCTGGCTTTGAACTGTGATCCTTAGATCTCAGCCTCCTGAGTAGCTAGGATCACAGGCATGAGCCACCAATGCTCCGCTATAGGCACAGAATTTTAAAACCAGAATGGGTAGGTCATGGAGAAGGAGGAGATTGAGGGAGAAAGGGAAGGCTCAGGACAATCTCTGTATCTAAGTGACGGAACTCGGTGCTCTGTGGATAAGAACTCAAGTGGAAGTCAGCCAGAGGCTTCTGGAGAAGGCTTTGTCCTTCACTAAAAGACAGAACATAAAATGACCCATTTTTCTGACTCAGTATTGACCAACACGTTTCCCAGATCCCTGTAGTCCAGAGGGGCTGTTCAGTGTCAGGGCAAGGAGCTGGGGTGGTAGGGCAGAGTGGTAAAGAGCCTGCACCCTGGCAGGAAACTGCTGAGCCAGCTACCGCTGCCCTCCCTTGTTCTGTGAGATGATAAATGTCTTCTTTTTAAGGCTTTTGGAGTTGAATGTGCCTCTTGTTCTAGTCTGGCTGAGTGAGGGGGCCATGATCTCTGCCTCAGGGCTTGCTGATGGGAGGTTCAGAGTCCTGGACTCCCTCCTTCAGCTGTGGGCTACACTTAGGATTTATGAGCTGCTTTTGTCAACAACTCAATCCCATGGTTTGCACACAAAAATGGAGATCTACCTCATGATGCTGATTTCAGGAATGTACTACCTAGAAGAATCTGAGCTCTGGCCAAACTCACTATACACAAACAGCAGACAGGTAGGCAGTGTTGGAGATAACAGACAGGTCTTTCTTCTCTCTGCAGAAAACCCTGTCTACACCTGGGTGGGCCCAGGATGTTCTGGAGAAATGATCAGGACGAAGCAGTGCAGTGTGCGAAGGTGGGAGGGAGAAGCAGAAAAACTCAGAAACAAAGCAGATGTTTTACCATAGGGCATCTTCTTGTTTGCACTCTGCAGTCTTGGCCTACGATTGTTAAGACATCTTATAATCTAATTTTATGTGACAAAACAAACTGCTCTGTTGCTGAGAAACTACACGGAAAAAAAAAAACAACACTGTGCCCAAGAGAAAGTGGACAAATTACTTTTTCCTTTTTATGCTTGAGGAAAATATTCTAGGTTCTAGTTTTGAAATGAATGCTTTATCCTTCATGATACTCGTGCTGAAAGAATCCCAGGACCCAAATATCATCCTTAGTTCTGAACCGTGTGGTGATGACATAATTTAATAACAATTTAATCTAGATGAGAATTCAGTTCCGAATCTGGAAGAGATCCTGGAAGTGAATGCCATAACACCATTTCACAGTTTAAAAAAATTCTGAAGGGGCTGGGAAGGTGGCACAGTGGTAGAGCGCTTGCCTTGCATGCATGAGGCCCTGGGTTCGATTCCTCAGCACCACATAAGCAAAAAAGAAAAAGGCCGGAAGTGGCGCTGTGGCTCAAGTGGTAGAGTGCTAGCCTTGAGCTGAAGAGCTGAGGGACAGCGCCCAGGCCCACAGTTCAGTCCCCATGACTGACCCCCCCCCAAAAAAAAAAATTCTGAAAAAGTGAATTGGTGTAGACTAGGTTTCAAGGTCCTCACTGACTGTGGTGTGGCTGGCTGACCTTTGACCTTCAGAAATGGCATCCACTCAGTTGCTCAGCCAGACACGAGGAGTCACCCTTGGTCTCTCCTTCCCTCCTTTCTGACAGTCAGTACATCAGGGACTACTGTTACTTCTAAAACACATCTTCAACTCTTTCTGACCTCAGTCATATCAGTTGACATGTGTGCATTATTAACCCAGGCAGGTACACACACACACACACACACACACAGAGATTCAAAGTGAATGGGTCACAACAGCCAAAGGACCATTTATCATACACAGCATAGGAGA